AACATGCCAACCTAATCTATGAAATCCAATCATTTCAAGAAACAAAGTTGCGTTATTTCCGTATTAAGTAGTAATGTCAAAACCAACAAGCAGCGCTGCCAGATAAATGGTCTTCCAAAGAAATTTCTGTATTATTCACCTTCTGGCTAAAGTCTTCCAATTAATAAAAGAAATGCATTCGATGCAGGAAAGGAGAAATTGGAAGACCTAGGTGTAAACTGAAATGGTTTTTAAGATGTGAGCAAAGCTATTACATCCTCCCCCTTCCCTGTGCTTCTCCGTCACATTTAACACCATCATTGTCCAACTATGCTTTGGCACCAGATAGAACTGGGTGCTGCCTCTCCCTCTCCCATCATCCACACACACCACTGCTTCCCATGGAACATCATTCGGACCAATGCATCTGAGATGTAGTAGAAAGAGCACGAGAGCCGGAGCTGGAACGTGGGATCCATCCCAGATCCATCCCTGGGAAGCTTTGGGTCTCAGGCAAATTGCTCTGAACCTCAGTTTCAGGACCAGCAAAATGAGGGCAGTGGACTAGAGCAGAGGTTAGCAAAGTTCTTCTCTAAAGGAGCTGGACAGAAAATATTTTAGGTTTTGCGAGCCAGGTGGCAAAATTGAAAATACTACGTAGGTACTTAATGACTTAAGAGGGAAAAAATTCCATATTATATTTTTAAGTGATGAAATTAAAAATATAAAAACAATTCAGTACAATTCTTTTTGGAATACAGGCCCGCTAATGAGAACAAAGGAATTTATTCATGAACACTGAAATTTGAATTTCCTATAATTTTCATATGTGATAAATATTATTATTCTTTTGATATTTTTTCCACAACCACTTAAAACTTAAAAACCATTCTTAGGTCAGGCTGTGGGTGGATCTGGCTTGCAGGCTGTATGTACTTTGCTGACCTCAGGACCAGGTGACCCACAGTGTTCCTTTCAGATATGAGCCTTCGTCTCCTGGTTTTAACCTACCTTCCTACTTCTGAACCGTAACTGATTAAACCTCCCCATGGGGTTTCGTTCCTCGACTGCCCTCTCCCAGCCCTTCTGAATGCTACCACCAGAGCCTCCCTTGAAGGCACCAGTTCAGGCTCACGAGCACTTTGAAATTCAAGTCTGATCCCGGCTACTCCCCAGTGACTCAGCACTGAGCTAGACTGGCAGACTTCAAGGCACTCTCCTCCCGACCCACCTTCTGAAGGCTCTCATCTCTTACTCCATCGGGGCAGGCCTACTGCAGTCCTCTGGGCATGACCTCTATTCTTTCACATCTCCCCATTCAGTGTTCCCAGCAACACTCTTCTCCAAGAGTTACCACGAAAAAGAATGCCCTGCTCAAACACGCGTGGCCACCGTTGTGCACCACACCCCCCTCTCAGAGAGGCACAACGCATGCTCACGGATTAAAGGCTTCGAGGAGTCCTGCAGCAAAAATATCATAAAAGTGTTGAATGTTTTTTGTGATAAGAACATTACTACCCTGTGGAAGCAGCCCTGGAGTGCCCTCTCAGTGCACGTCTGCCATGTGGGGGCTGCCCAGCACCCTGATGTCTAGAGAGTTCCCCGTCTCGTCTCGGTGGGAAGCAGAGCCCACTTCCCACTAGAGGAACTGTATTTAGCATCTGTAACTGAGTTAGCATTTGTTTCCTCCATCTATATACCTGACACAATGCCTAAGTCTTTGGAGAAAAAGGAGTCTTTAAATCCTCTTTTTTCAGGAATCTTTACCAACCTCCATTCCGAATGGAGGCGTTAAGTCACATTTCTGAGTATATGCATATCTAAATATTAATACAGCCAGTTTGATTTTTTGTTTGTTTGTTTTTGGAGTTTTTCGGGAGGAGTTAATTAGGTTTATTTATTGATTTTTTTTTTTAGAGGAGGGACTGGGGATTGAACCTGGGACTCTACCACTGAGCTGTACCCTCCCCTTTTATTTTCTAATTTTTACAAATATTTTGTTCTACTTCATAGAATCATGAGAATCTCAAGGTTTCAAGAAGGAACTCTGAAGAAATTATTTAAATCCCTACGTGAAACATGAATCCTCATTCCTTCAACAATATTCCTACCAAGGGACTGACCATGTATATCTGGACAGTTTTATGAATAAAAAGATCACTTCTCCCTTCTCAAATGTTCATTCAGTCTTTAGACAGCTTTTTTGGGAAGATGAGAAAGCTTTTACTGATTGTCTAAGCTCTAATATTTACAGCTACTCCCAATAAGCTTTCTTTCCTATGTAAGTCTTCCAAACATTTGAAGACCAACACTGTGGACTGTTTCTCGCCCTTCCCTCCCCAGTACTTCCCATCATTAGGCTACACTGTCCCATTAGAGAGGAACTTGTCCTCTCTCTGGCTGTTGTCTTCCGAGTGAGTTCCTGTTCCTCCACATCCGTAGTAGGTAAGACTCTTTGTGGTTCTAAGGATGCTCAGCATCTGCTGGTCACCAGATTCTGCAGACAACACAGCCAAAGGCACCACTCTACTCTGGCCATGAACTGTCCCCAGCATAAGGCTCCTCACGTGCTACCAAGTACCTCCCTTATCCAAGACAGACTGTATCTGACACTCACGCCTATTCTGTCAACCAAGATCAAGAAGTAAATGAGCTTGGTATCAAAAGTACCAACGTCTTACAGTTTCACTACCTTAAGGCAGGAAAAAAACATTAACCTGCTTATACATTTAGATAATTCAAGAGCTGCTAACAATTTAATCAGCTCCAACTTTCAAAACTTCATGGAGTGATTTAACCATACAACAACTTGGTAAAACCGATGCCTTTCAAAATAATTATATTTTTATTATAGGTTTGACAATGGAAAAGATGTCACCAAAATACTAATATTAATCAACTGCATAAATCAATGACACTAACGGTAAATCTCGAGACCTGTAGTTTTCCAAGGTGGTCGCTTGACCAGTGGCATCAGCTTCCCTTGAGATTTTCAGAGCTTCAAACTCTTGGGTCCTACACCAGACCTGCTGAATCAGAAACCCTGGAAGTGGGGCCCAGAAATCGGTGTTTTAACAAGCCCCTCAGGTGATTCTGATGTACACAGATAATCCAGATCAGACTTAAAGGAGTTTGAAAACCTCATAATCCTTTAAGACCTTAAGTTTTTTGTGTCTTATAATGGCTTCTAATCTTGTACATATGAGTAAAGTCACAGAGTTCTATAAGCATGAATTTTGCTCTTATTCCCTAGATCTTTGGTATTTTTCCAACAATCCATGGTTTCTGAAAATACCGTCAGGTGATTAATATGTTTATCAGCCAACACCATGCTTACAGCTATATTCAGCATAAAATATGAATTACAAAGGAGGTAACACCTTTCGGGGTCGGGTAGAGGGAAGTCATCCCCATGTTCGACTGGAGAGGGGGCACCTCCATCGTCTGGCAGACCTGATTTCTGACAGGTTCTTCTCCTTCTTCCCGTGCAGATGTTACCATCACTCTCTTGCCCTTCCAGCCAGCATGGTTTTCGTTTTTTCCCTCCTCCTTCACATTTTAACCTAGGAAACTACTCATTTATTTTGTTTTTTCTTGTTTCAGCAAAGTTAAGTTTTCCTTAACTTGGCTTTACTGCTGCAAATTATGGTTCATTTTAAAAGCGTGGATGCTGGAAAAAGCTTCCAAGAAGCCCTAGTGTCGCATTATAGAACCAGGCCTTTCATTTTGAGCTGTCTTTCTACACATGCATGGAGATCTCAAGTCTTTCTTACTGCATCACAAATAGGGTTTATGAATAACTCATGATCCCAGTATTTTTAACAGAAAGTTCTCCTATGACAGATTTGGAAAGCTGAAAAGTTCTACGAAACTTTCTAAGTACTTAAGGCTTTTCCAAAATGAACACAAGCTCTGTCATAACTAGTTAATTAGTTAAAAATACTTCAACTCTGATGGTTACATAAAAAAAAAAGGGAAAGAGAATAAAGAGAACATTTGTTGATCAACTACTGTGTGCCAGGAACTGTGCCAAAGGCCTATCCATTTTCTCATAAAATCTCCTTGACAGCTTGTGAGTTAGATTAAAAACTGATGCTCAGTGCTCTGAAAACTTGTCTGGTGGGTGGTAGTCAGGCCAGCTCAGGACACTCAGCATGACTTAAAGTCCATTATCTTTACTTACATCACACACTGTAACAGCAGATGCTTGAAAGCCTGGCCAAACAAAGGGAAGAGTGGAGTTACTTACGTTGTTGTTGGTCACAGCAAAGTACTGCAGATTACTCAGATACTGGATTTCTTCCGGAATGAAGGTCAGGTGGTTGTAGCTTAGATCCAGGTAATGTAGTTTGGTGCACAGGAAAAGCTGCAGGGGCAGATTCTCTATGTTGTTATGGTCCAGAAAGAGCTGCTCGAGATTAGATAATGCCCCGATCTGTGCAGGAATATAAGCGATGTTATTGTGCCACAACTTCAAGCAGGAAAGATTCTGCAGATGCTGAAAGCTAATGATCTCTTCCACAGTTTTAAGGTTATTTTCTCTGAGGTCTAACTCATGCAAATTATTCAGGCTGAAGATGGAGTGTGGAATGCGTTCCAGGTCACAGCTGATCAGCTCCAGGCTTTTCAGATGGACCATCTTTTTCAAGTTGTTCAACACAACCAGTTTGCTTCCCTCATTATCGAGAGACAACTTCTGCAGCGAAGGCAGGAGGTCTGTGATGACTTGTGGGATCCGGGAGAGGCTGCTCTTCAAGTAGAGGGTCCTCAGGTTTTTCAAGTCCTGGAAGCCCTCCAGCTGCATGGTACTCACCTGCTCAGGTAGAACACAGCCTGACAGGTAAAGTTCCTTGAGATTCTTCAGGTGGAACACCCAGCGGGGAATTTTCCCCATTTCAGTAAATTTCAGGCGGAGGACTTTTAAATTCTCCTCTAGGAAGGCCAGGGCGGGATGGTCGACCACCAGAGATGAATGGTACACGTGGAGCTCCTTGAGGTTGACCAGCTGCGAGACTGCGGAGGGCAGCTTGACCTCAGGGATCAGCTCCAGGCTGAGCACTTCGATTTCAGTCAGCTCGAAGACGTTGTCTGGAAGACCGTTTAGCATGAAAAGGTGCAGCTCTGCCTTGTCCTGGGAGTTCTTCACAAGCTTACTCTTCAGTTTCTCAACCGTCCACTCGTTGTTGAGGTTGATCTGCTTCAGTTTGTTCTCGCTGACCTCCGACAGGAAGATGGAGAAGCGCTTGGAGTAAAGAGGATCGTACTGGTCAGCCAGGTGCAGGATGAAGGCGAAGTCATTCTTGACGTCCGGGATGTCACTGTAGTTGCTCTTCTCTCGCAGCGCCTCAAAGGAGTACTGCTTCAGAGAACTCCGCAGCATCCACCACAAGCTGTACGAGGAGGTGAGGCCGTAAAGGATAACCAAGATGACGTAAAACGAAGCCAGGACCTTAAATATCTCTGCCAAGGAGTAGACGCACTGGTAGCGCTTATACCCCGTGAAAGCCTGCAGGTCCACCGAGCAGTCGATTTCAAGGGCGATGTAGGTTAAAAAGTACGGAACGTACGTGATGATGAGGACAAACAGAATGACCTTGACGATGATCTGCTTCAGATACACTCTGTAAATGATGTCCTTCTGCTCCACATGCGTGCGGAACCTTTTCACTTTTTCAAAGATGGCTTTGGCCTGTTCGCCCTCCTTCTTGTCCAGGACGCTAGAGGCCGGGCTTTCTAAGCCGGCTGACTCCAAGCCAGGCTGCGGGAAGGGCAACGGCTGCTTGTTGGAATCGACGTCGGCTGAGCACCCTGAGGACGAAAGCAAAACCTTGGACTTGGAGAGTGTCAGGGGTCGCCCTGACTGCTCGGCCACCGTTTCCGACAGAGCTCGGGTGGTCCATGGGGAATCGAAGCACTTGTGCAGGATGGCCACAAAGTGCTCGAGCCGGGAACTGGTGCTGGGGTAGTGAAGCCAAAAGTTGCTGCAGGCTGCAAAGATGAGCGTGTGCAAGAGCACCAGGTAGGGGAAGAACTTTGCAAACCAGTGGAGCTGCTTCTCATAGCAGACAGCGTCGATGTAGGCATACTGCTGTCGGTGGAGGTCATTCTGGATTCTGAGGGGGAGCGGAGGCGGTGGCCCAGGATCGGAGGACGCGTTCATGCTGGCTTTCAGGACGTTCCAAGGCACGGCGCAGTGATTGTCGAACTCCACCTTACATGGGAGACAGCACAGAACCCTGCTCTGTGTCAGCTGGAGGGCTCCAGCCAGCACGGCCACCAGCAGCATGATCAGGGTGATGTAATACCAGAAGACATCCCACCACGGTTTCAGGATGTGATAACATGACTGGGCGTCTGCTAAACATTTTAGCTCTGTTAGTGTAATCATGACTTCCCCTTGTAGGAGTACAGAAGCTGGAAGAGGAAAGTAAAAGAAAAACTACTGAAGCAGGTACCCCAAGTAAGCTGAAACTCTAAAGCTGATGCACGTCCACGCAGGACTCAGCTCAGGGGCAAGTCTTGGGAGGCAGGGCTGATGACCAAGAGGCAGGAGAGCCTTCTGGTTTCATGTGAAACCTCAGGCCATCCCTCTGTGTGCTACACAGCCCCTCAGGTGAGACACATTCGGTGCCGGCCAGGCTGCATCTGCAAAGGTATTTGGTGCAGGACATGGAGCAGCTACCTCGTTTCCTCCTGGAGCGCCACTCCATGCTAAGCTATTAAAAACCGGAGGCCAAATTTTCTTCAATCAACATGAGGAAAACTTGTTTTTATGCCACTAACTTCTAACAGCCACGTTTTGTACCTTCCAAACGATCTGTGTAAGCTCTTTCTCACGCCCCACTCACTTGTCTGGAGCATCGGTCACAGCCCCAGAGCTGTGTTCCCACCACTACAAGAACTTCCTTTGAGCCAACACTGCTTCATAAAATTATCCCCTAGCGTTTGAGTGATTTATCAATTGTATGGTCAGAACAAACTGTGACTTAATACATTACCTCCTTTCCCCTCCAAGCTCTTGCTCCGTCACTTAAGTTCACATCCAACTTAGAATATTTAAAAGCTGACACACACAGCTGACAGCTTAAAAATGGGTGGGGAAGGAGGCCCCAGTTACGACTCCCCCATGGGGACTCTCTCACGTTTAACGGCTCGATGGCAAAGCACTAATAAGATAAATGATCAGGGCACATGCTATTATTAAAGTATTTTTGCCTTTAGAAAAACAAGGTGGATTTTGCATTTTCACATCAAAAAGTACTCAGACAATGCTCTTTACAGAAATGATTCATGTAGTGTTCAGCCTTACATATATCAATTGTTTAAAAAATTGCTAGCTAGTAAAATCCAGACCATCTATAAGATGGCACAGATTAAGACAGATAAAAGAAAATATTTGGATCTAGTAACAATTCTGGTAAAAATTGCAGCAGCATGGTCGTCTTTTGCTGGTGGTCCAGCTCCAAGCTTGGCTCGAGGGCTTCTCTTGCACTTTTTTGAGTCTGAAGTCTTAACCTTCCTGGGTCTGAGTTTCTCTCTCTGGACGCCCTAGTACTGGGAGCACCCCCAAGGAAGACTTTCTGCTCTCACCAGTCCCCCTCCGAGGGCCTGGTGTCCTGTCTTTGACCCTAGAATCCCATGACAGAGGCCCTGGGACCTGCGAATACGCATCTTCTCTTTTGCTAGCCAGTCCGAGCATGCTCCTGACCACCTGACCCTGAGCCCTAACTCTTCATGCAGTCCCCTAACAAGGGCACCCCCTGATCCTGACCTTACCTGCTGGCCTGGGGCACCACCGTCCAGCTGTATTCTCACTGGGCACCAGCATGTCATATGGATTCAACTTCCTCTTAGGACACATGGCTTGAATAAGTAACTCTCCAGGGCACCTTTACTTTAGTTTGGTGGGTCTAGCTCTTAACTTCCCCCCTCTGCCTCACCCCACTGCAGTTAGTCATAACTGCGTGTGAAGACAAGACAAGACAGAAGCAAGAGGATTATAAGAGACAAACAGAATATCCTGGACTAGGACCCCCAAATACTATAAACACGACGGGAGGAAAGGATGGCAAAAAACACTGCTGGAGGAACATGTGAGAAGTATCTAGGGGTCTCAGGTGACATAAATGCATCCTTTAGGCTAACTGTGTCACAGCTATGTGCTGTATTTATGCTGAAAAGAGTTATGGCATGACTCATAGCATTACACGAGCCCAGTAAAGGGGCAACAGTCCTTCTGTGCCCAGCTGGTGAGACCATACCTGGCACCCAACATGCAGTCATAGGGTTAAAGACTAAGTGGGCAATAAGGTAATCAGGAGCGACTTGCCTACGAACCATTTCCTATAGAGGAACACAGGTACTTGACGGAGGAACACATGCACTTGAAGATATTCAGCTGAGATAAAAGATGACTAGGGGAACCTGAGAATTTATCTTTACATCTTGCAGTGCTACCTCTTGGATTAAAGAATAAGTGGAATTCTTCCAGAGGCAGAACGAGGTGGGCGCTCATTTTAGAAACGACATTTTGATTCAGTCTGTAGCAGAGCATCCGTAGAACTGACTCCTCCGAGGAATAGCTGAGGCCCTTCTCCCGACTGGGGCGGAGCTGAGTAAGATGACCATCCACCAAGGAGGCTGCAGAGGGATTTCTTGCAACGGATAAAGAGGGTGAACGGGACCATCTCCACGGGCTCTGGCAGCTCAAAGCTTAGGGCTTTCTGTATAATCTCAAAGGTCCTGAGAGTTAAATTCATGTAAGATCCACAGCTGAAATTATGGAAGAATGTAAACACAAATGGCTCTGACAACAAGGGTGACAAGACAGTGAATATTCATCCACCAAAGAACATAAGTCAACACTGGCCAAGATAAAAATACTTCAAATACTTATACTTACTATAGTGAGGAAAATGAATCGGAGACGTTGACTGTTCTTCAGTCAGGAGGCCTACACCTTTTGAAATTTCTTAGACACACCATCTCTGTGATTGTCTTCATTCTATGAGAAAGCATAGGTAACTTGAAATAGCTGTGGATGTTCAAACAAACAAAGCTGGAGACACTATCCTCAGAGACCCTCTCCATCGTAAAACTTCATATGGCAGATGGCTTTTTCATAGACCAGCTTACTTTTCGTGTTGGGGGACATTCTGGCAAAGGTGTATAGACAGGACCCTACCCACAAACAGATCACACACAGCCCCTGAACTCCCTTAATTTACAGAGAAGTTTCTACAGAAATTTAGACATTAATGTATTTCAAAATGCTGTGTCTACAACACTTAGATGAACACGTGGCTTTCTCAAGTAGATTATGTATGTCAAGTTCTCTCACTTGGTCCTCACACACAGTTGCATTTATCAGATGGCCTGTCAAACCATATAATTTTTGAACCTTACCATCCATCCATCCAAATAAGACCCAATGCTCCTAAAACTTAGCCTACTGACTCATCAGATAGTTACAAGTTAATAACTTTTTAAGACATAGTCCCAAAATGTGGCTGAAATTCTCTGAAATTATATTATTAAATACAGCTACACCCTTTGTATTGGGCTTTTGTTTTTTACCTTGTAGGTGAATAAAAGCCATTCTTAGCATCTACTTAAACAATCATTTGCAGTAGTTTAAATTACACATATATTGACTAGTTTGAAATGTGAAAACATTCTAAAACATGAAAAATTTTTTTAGCTGGGTATGAAAAGTATATGTTTAGTCCCTATGTAATCTCTGAAAAATTGCTGGGAAGTTCTATAAATTTGGCTGAAGATACAATCCTTTTTTGGTTTATTAAGTACTTGAAATCCAGCTCAGAGTACTGACCCCAAATTTGTATTTAAGGTATTTTTAGCAGTATTCTTGTAACTTTGTCATTTTCAAAGATCAAAAAGTTAGCTTGTCTGAAATGTACTTTGGATTTACCAATCCATGTGTAAAGCCTGCTTTATAATTACCATCCAGTATCAAATTATTTTGCAAGCCAGAAAGCACAGTTAGTGTGTGACAACCCAGCTATGTACTAGTTCATACTTGGCGCCACTGGAGTATGAGTTTCTTGTTCACAACTCATTTTTGAAAGGCTTACAACATATGATACATAACTGCATTTATGTGTAGTAAGCATGATAAAGACATTCACTGTGTGAAACATTTACATATTTCCCACTGCACTGCATCTGTAATGAGCCGGGGAGAATTTATTGCCTAATTCCAGCATGCTACCAGGCCATCATGATCACTTCCTGCACAATACAGTTTCCCTTAAATACTGCAAATACACTTTTCTGCTTTAAACATGGTATTTCTAGGAAAAGAGAGAGTCACAAGCCAACTACAGTAATATTTTAAAATAATCATAATGAGAAACTTCTGCAACTAACCTGTCAGAGAACCACAGCTGAGGACAGGCTCGCCGTATCTATTCTAACCAAAAATTTTTCTAAAGAATGTTTCTTGTTCACCTTTTTAAGAATTATTTTTAAAAAAGAATTATAAACTTTTCTTCTAATCACCTAGTTCACATTCCCTTTGATGATTTCCTTGTCAACAAGAAAGCAAATAAAAATCTATTATTAATAATCTAATGTCTGTTTTTCTATTTTCAAAGCACTTTCACTACATTAGTTTCATGCCAACAACAAACCATTAAGATAAATATTATTCTTCACACATTTCATAAACATGGAAAATAAGGCAGGCCCAAAGGAGCTATCTTGTCCAAGGTGACAAGCCTGGCAAGAAATAGTTACAGCTAGAACTTAGGTCCTCCAGCTCAAATCTCCAGCCTTGTGCACACTAGACCACGCTGTCTCATTCAGTTAACTATGCCAGTCTGAGTTCTCTCAAAAACTAAAGAGAAAGCTGAATATTTAACTCTATTCCCTAATTACAATATACTGAATGTTTGCATCCCTATAAAATATATATTTTAAAATCCTAATCTCTAAAGTGATAGTATTAGGAGGTGGAGCTTTGGGAGGTGATTAGGTCCTGAGAGTGGAGCCCTTGTGAATGGGATGAGGGCCCTCACAGAAGAGACCCTGGACAGCGCGCCTGCCCCTTCCACCACGTGAGGACACAGCAAGAACGCGGCCATCTGGGAACTAGGAAGTGAGCCCTCATCAGACACGGAGTCCGCCAGCACCTCGATCCCAGGTCTCCCAGCCTCCAGAAACTGTGAGAGATAAATGTGTGCTGAAGGGATTAAGACATCAGCTTACCCCCACATCTGCATTATAACTGCTTCCATTTTAACCTTTTGAAAGACCAGGACACAAATAAACAGCTTTCTGCAGTGTCTCCAGTTACATAGTATATAATCTGCTTTCTCAGCTAAACTTTTTCTACTAAACATTTCCCACTGAACTACCTAAGACTTTATATAAATATGTTTGAATTTAATGATGTATGAAAAGTTTCAAGCATTTCTATGTATTAAATGTTAATTTTCTAACTGAAGTGTTTAACTGGAGAATTAGAACATAGCTCTCCTTTGTCATTACAAAATTTAATACCGTTTGTGTGTCTAGGGAATTTTTTCCAGACAAAATTTTTGCAAACAATGAGAATTCAATCCGAATCAGATCTCTATTTCTAATATACCAATGCACTAAATCAGTTCAAAGAAACAATGTTAAAAGTAAAGGATTTTATGGTCCTAATTCCATTCCTTTAACTTTTAAACCTCATCAAAAAATCATAAAAGCTTTCAAAGCACATGAATTCATTTGGCAATCTCCCCCCCACATAGTCTCTAAGACTGAACAACAACACTCAAGTTAGCCGGCCTTCACTTCCCACTAGTCCTTATTTTACTTTGAAAGCATTTCCAAAATAACCAGTGAAAAAATAAACAAATGATGATCAGATGGCATTTAGAGTCATTATATGCTGAGATCCGGATGCCACTTCAAAGGTCTCTGCCTCTGGCCCCAGGCAGGGATACAGCCAAACAATTCAAAATGGGGTTTCTCTATATCACCATTGAAAATTGATTTAAAAATCACCTTATATCCTTTCAAAATGCTTAGTCCTACTTCTCATCAAGATGTTTCTTGGGTTTAACATACACCTAACTGAAGTTTACACTCACCTCTGTGAGTTCTCTCGCTGGGAGACAATGTGTTATATCCAGGACTAATTTGCTCCTTTTCTTTGTATTAAATAACCCCCAAACCTTCATCAGAAATCTGAAGGCAGTCATTTAGCATTTCTCCAGCACTTGAATGATCAATTAGCAAGACACTGATTTTGAGGTCTAGAAGAGAACTAGGATTCATCCAGTAAAGGGTTTCTCTAACATCAATGCTCGTGAATCACTGGAGAGCCTGTGCAGTCGAACACAACGAGCCCCTCTGGGCGTTTCTGACTCGTTAGAGCTGGAAGAGGCCCAAGAATGCGCATTTCCAACAAACCCTGAGTCGACATTGATGCTGCTGGCGCAGAGGTCACTTTTTGAGAATCGCAAATCTAAGACAGTGGTTCTCAATTCTGGCTTCACGTTAGAACCAGCTGGGGCACTTTTACAAGAAACTGAAACTCGGGTGCCGCTCCTACAGAGCACTTCAATTGGTCTAGGTGAGGCCAGACTTTTTTTCCCCCAACTTCCCCAGGAGAAGAGGCTCACAAGACAGACTGGCAACAGAGTATCTGGGGAAAGCGCCTACCTTTTAAGTCTTCCCAGAAGTTTCAGGTGTCTAGAGCACACACACCCCCTCCCCGCCACAGACCACGAAGCAACAGCTACCGCCAACCACACTTCAGAGACTCAGGCCTGTGAGGCAGTGGGACAGCAAGTTGCTGACTGCAGAGAGTTGCAGGATGGGTTTAAGGAGGAAGGATCAGAAATAGGGGGCCAGCTGAAAGGCTATTTCAGCCATGTCGGCCAGAGATGATATGGCAACACTTTGTAATATATTTGAAAAGAAAGCAGTAAATGAAATGATCACTGTAAATAAAAATTCAACACCATTAGCAACATCAAATATCCAAAGAGAGGGCCATGGAGAAGCAGGGTTGAAAAGGGCTCTGATTCAGATCCTAAGGTATTATGGTACCTTCCATAGTTTCTGGCACGTGGTGTACAATAAACACAGCTGAACACACAAAAAGCAGAAGGCAGAAGAAAGTACGTTCACGCCTTAGGCAGGGTGTATCTAAGGTGATTAAGCCTCTCCCTGGAGAGGCTAGAACTCAGAAGCATATAGATGGGAAGGATTTTGGCTAACTGGTCTGCATATTCCAAACCTTAGTGGCTTAAAAGTAGTTTTATTTCTTGTGATTCTGTGGGTGGTTCTTTCACCTCGTGGTGTTGGCTGGCACAAAGAAGGCCCAGATGTCCTCACTCGCCAGGCTGGTAGTTGGCTCTGACTGCTGGCTGGAACTTCACCTGAAACTCTTCTTGGCGGCTCGAGTGTCCTCACGTAGCCTGGGGTTGGGTTCTACAGTGGTGCACTCCGAGCAGAGAGGTGAAAACTGCAGGTTTTTTATGGCACAGCCCCCAAAGCTACACAGTGCCAGCTCTGCCACATTCTACCAGTCACAGGGTTCAAGGGGACAGGAAGCAAACGCCTCCTCCCCGCGGGAAGACGACGGGGGCGTGCGGCCATGTTGGATCCACCACAGTCTCTGCCCACAGATGACTTACCATTCTCCCACATGAAAGGCCTCACCCTCTCCGCAGCCCTCCAAGAGCTTCATCTCACCATGGCGTCAAGTTCAGCTTGAAGTCTAGGATCCTGTGCTCTCAGTCACGTCCAGGATGCTGCGGGACAACACTCTTCAGGTTCTGTCTAACAGGGCAGATCCAGGAGGCACTGCCTTAAAGCCTTTTGAAGTCTTAATGCAGGGTCCTGCACCCGTGCCCTGGCGTTCATTCGAACCTTAAGACCGAGTTTTACTGCACGAGCGCTCTGGATCTGTTCTTTCAACTTGAGGCCATTTCTTACTTTGGGTCCCTTTTGCTGGGTGGAGAAGCTAGGAACAAGAAACAGCTTCATCCATGACCCCAGAAAATTCTGGACTGGAAACGTATCTTCTAAAATCTACTTGAAATCTGAACCGTTTCTTCTTTAATTAACCTCTCTCTTACAATATTTTGGGCATAAGTGGTCTAAAAAAGTCAGCTGGTACTTCTAATATTCTGCTGGAAAATCTAACCAGAACCACAAATTCATTAGGTTCATTTTCCGTTCTCCACGTTACTGTGGGTGTCAATCTTGTCAATCTTCCCGTCAGTACACAACCAGGGAACCACTTCACACCCTCCAACAGCAACTTCCTCACTGCCCTTCCAGCCACCATTAACAGTCTTCTCACTTCCCCTCCAGGTTCACCACCGTCTGGTCCCAAAGCCAGTGCCACATGTTTTGTTACAGCAGAACCTCACTTCTAGGCACCAATTTTTGTTTTGGCTCTTTATTGCTATGTAACAACCATCCCCAAACTTGGCAGCTAAAATAACCATCCATCATTTCTCATGATTCTGTGGGATGATGAGGCAGTTCTTCTGTTTCACATGGTGTTGGCCGGAATGTTGGGATGGCTGGACGGTCCAAAATCACAGGGCTGCTGTTTCAGCTGGCTGCTGGCCTGAACTCAGCTTGAGCGAGTGGCCAAGCGCCGGCCGCCCTTCCACATCGCTGGTTAGGCTCTCTCACAGCCAGGTGGCTCAGCTCTAAGCGGGAGCAGCTGCAAGCACCGGAAGGCAGAGGCTACAAATCTCCTGAAGGTCCAGCCTTACGAACTACTCCACACCATTTCTGCCACACTTGATGGGTCAAAAAGGTAACAGGGCCAGGGCAGATGCACAGGAGGGAAAACAAGACTCTACCTGTTCATGGGAAAAATCACGGAGCATTTGCAGCCATCTTCAGCCCACCACTGGAGTCATGAGCATTTACGGAGCAGACGGTGCCATAGAAATGAATTCATTCTCTGAAAGAATTTAGTCAGTAAAGAACAGAATTTCTCTTCCCTGCATAACATATCAGATGAGGAAGGACAATCAGACAAGGATGATTTAGCAAAGGGGGACAGAGAAGCAGAGTCAGTAACGTAAAAAAAAAAAAAAGCAGCAGTGCCCTGCTTGTGGGCACAGAAGCCAGAGTCGGGCTTCGCAGCCGAGACACAGAGGAAGCAGAGGAGGGCAGTGACCGGCACCGCCTTTCTGCAGCTTCTTGCCCAGAGCTGTGAATCAGTCCAATAACACGCGAAGTATGAGGAAAATCACCCTAACCAGCTGAAGCCCCAGGAGAAAGGCACTGGATGTGACAGGTGAGAGCATGTGAGCAACTCCAGAAACCCTAATTAAATCACTTGCTGAACTTTAAGGACTTTGGCTTCACGTCTCCTTGTTTCTGACGGTTATGAAATACATCGCGCATTTAATTTGGATGGTAATTGCGTTTTTAGGAAAAGACCTCTCAATTCTTTGATGCTTTTAGTAAGCTACCAAATTATCTATAATCCATTTAAAATGAAGAGAAGTTACAGCCACATTATTATAATATTAACACTAGAGCATAAGCCACCAGTGGCTACAGAATTCCTAGAATGTGTAAACAGAAGGCAACCTCAAACCCTTCTCCACCATCTTCGTTGTTTATAAAATTGTTTTCCTGACCCCTCCTGTCTCCTCAGAGTAAGCAAGCCGTAAAGGAGAGCCAAGCCCAGTCACTATGCATGGTCTCTGGTGACACACACATGCTCTCCTTTCGGATGACGAGCTGACGGCAGAGACCATCAGCCCACGCGCTTCTCCTAGTGCTTCCACAGGTGACCCACCTTCCACAGGAGCAGGACCCCATGGACGACTTAACCCAGGAAGAAACCGCAGAGTCTGGGTCTACCTCTCCGCAAATAAGAGAACTAAATACCAGAGGTGTTCGAGCAGCTCCTCTATAGACACAGGGTAGCAGAATGCGGGATTGTGGCCAACTTTCCTAATTTGAAAAGAACTGGGAGGTTGACAGCATTGCTTCTGGCCACCTACCCTAAGTAATGATAGGCCTCCTTAATAAAATAAAACAGGGTTTTGGAACATGAAGTGGCAAACATAGTCCAGAACATTTCTGTGCTATAATTGTTTTTAAACTATAAATCAAAATGAGATTTTTTTTTGAGCCCTGGGACACAGAAACCAGTGTATTCCAGAAATACTTAAAGGTATGATTAAGCCACCAATCTTAACCATTTCTCTAAAGTTAACATTTATAAGCATTCAATTACGGAAGTTAGCATTACAAATGCACACCAAGGCAATAGGAGGCCTGTCTCTGCCTTCATGGGATTTGCAATCTTACTGTGGAGAGAAGACATGCATGGTTGAGAGTGAGCCCCACCATCTATGCTGTCACTTCAGCGCCAAAATGAGCAGGATGACGGCCAAATCTTTACTGGGTTCTGCATTTGGTTCTACAGAAACAAAATGCCGAAGGAGAATGGGTGAAAACTTACCGAGAATGGCAAAGCAGTACTTGTCAATGAGAGGGCAGGATTTTAGTCTGTTCATGCAACAAATACTTAGAAAGCCTACCCTGTGCCAGACAGAGTTCTGTGTGTGAGGGTAACATAGATGTGCAAGACAGACTAGATCCCAGGGGCCTCACTGTGCAGTAAGGGAAGAGAGAAAATCAAATACACGCACACGATGGAATCAGAAACTTTATGAAGAATGCACAGCTACTGTAGACTGGGGAGTCAGGGAAAGCGTCTTTGAAAGGACTACCATTAGAATGGAGACCTAAATGGAGCCAATCATGTGATGGTCTGGGGGAAGATCATTCCAGGCAGAAAGAGCAAGAAGCTTAGGATGTGTGTAGATCAAAACGGAGGCCACTGGCTGGACTGTCAGAAGCCTGGGGAGAGCAGTACAGAGGGCCCGCAGCCGAGATGAAGCGTTTGGGTATCAACAGCAGTGGTGGAAAAGCCACGGAAGAGTCCTAAGCAGAGAAGTAGCTCATCTGTCATCAGCTTTTAGATTCATGGTCAGCTCAGCGGATCAGCAGGGAAATGCGGGGACACCCGGGAGGTCCGAGGTCCACACCTTCAACCATGAAAAGAAGGGTGTTCAAAACGCAGCAGGGGGCAGACCCACTGTCCTCATTCCTGCCTCACCTGGACTGTGCGTTCAGAGCTGGTGACGCGCTTTTAACACATGCGTTGTATTCTCAGCACTAGAGGGCCATGCTGCTTAATACCGTGTTCACATGAATCACCCACTGTGTCAAAGTCAAAAGCTCTGCCACAGAGCTAGTTTAGGATTAAACTTCCAGAATTACGAAAGATGAGTGAAGTCTGCAGGAGGTGACAGAGCGGAGGACCTGGTTATTTCTGTCCCACCTATTCTAGGAGAGCGTGGCCAACCTTCCCTTATGGAAACATGGCAACCGAGTCCATGCGTTAAAAATGCTACTTAAACAAAAGTCAGAAAAGTCTAGACATGGAGTCGTGGAGCGTAAGGCTCTCACAGACATTCATTAGATTCATTAGATCTCTAATGGTAAAAAAAATGACAAACACCAAACATACACCCTTTTCTACATGCAAAACCAACAAAGGATAAGAAGATAACATTTTACCAGAATGCATTCAGATTTAATTTTCTGTTTAATTGGTTTAAAAACATCAAAAGGAGTTTACTCAAAACGTCTGTCTGAATAGTAATTTCTTTTTACATACCAAGCAGTCAGTACTTACCTGCCCCAAGCTACCAGTGTAATAGTAATTTTCTTTGCCGTGTGCTCACAGTTTAGAATATTAATCTTACCCTGTGAGTGCTGGCCAACCGGAAGCTCTGCAGTTAGTTTCTGCTTGAAAAATTCCTAAAGAGAAATCATAAACATATTGTTATATTTTATGCATCACAGAACTGCAAGACAATGCAGCCACCTACGTGGCTCTAAAATTTCAGACATGTATAATAACTTTATGCAACATACAAAAGATAACTTTTTTAAAAAGTGAGCGCTGTTAAAAGAGATCACTTTCTGACCTCTCACAAAAGGTGTCAGCTGAAGCCCAGGGAGAGAAACAGATCTCTGCCATAAGGCACACACCCAGTCCCATCCCCACGGGAGCTCACAAGGCAAGAAACACGAATTTTGAATTCGTAATGAAGAATGAGACAAGCATTATATCTGAGGCACCACTCATTTTATAAGCAGAAGACAGGAAAGCTCACTGAAAATGTCTGTGCTTCAAACAGGGGAGCACGGAGCCGCGGTGGCTTAATGTTTAGGATCACCTTCTCCTTCCAGTTTGCTGTTGCTCTGCTTTTTGCTGGCCCGCTGCTGTCACACAATCGCGCCATTATAAAATTCAACAGCAGGACACTGAGGCCTCTTGTCGCCTCATTTCTCAAACGCTTTCTTCACAATGTTGTGGTTTCTCTGTATATCATTTTTGATGGAAGCATAGTAGTTCACACGTGGATAGGTCACAGTTTACAAAATCACTTCCCTTCTGAATCTTAGATTTTCTCTTTTTACTACTAATTAAGCTGTAAACATCTCTAATTATGTTCACATGACTTCCTTTGCACGGACCTCCAAAAGTAAGGGTGATGGGTCAAAGAGCATTAACACCGTAAGGCGTCTGACATATAACATAAGTTATCTCCCAAGGAGATTACACCAATTTTCCTTCCTACAAACAGCACGAGCAGCACCCTCACCACATGTGGGAACCATCGTCAGAAATAAGTCTGCTCATCCCACACACGAAAACGGTCTCGCTGTTGCCTTACCGTGCATTTCTTTGACTGAACTGGGCTGAATGCCTCCCGACATGTCTGAGCAATGAGTTTCATTCCTCTTTCCTGTTTCACATTTACCTAAACTGGAGGAATATTTTGCTGGGAAGACTAAATGTAGAACTTAATGAAATCTCGCTCAGAACGACAACCTGTCATCTCAGAGTGAAGCCATGGCCATCAAGCGAAAAAAGCAAAATCTAGCTCCATTTCTTTACCCGGGGTAAAATCAAATCACTCAAACTAATTTTAGAAACCATAGCAGAAGTTATCGTCTTTCTTCCTCCCCAGCAGCAAACAAAAACACAAGTGGGAAGGAAGAAACCAACACGAAAGCACTAAATGGCAACGCTCCTCAGAACAGGGACAAATGCTCCCTGGCAGGCAGGGTCAGGGCAGGGGCTGGACCGCGACCGAGGCAGAAGGGCCGCTGAGGCGGCCCCCGTGGGCTCCCCAGCCCAGTGCTCGTGGAGGCCGTAAAGCCGGCATTATCTTCCCCTGAAAAATGTTTTCTCCCCCCAGAGGCAGGACAGAAGAGACATGAATTTTCACTCCAAAAAATAAATTCCCAGATCATCTAAAAAAAATGTATTCCTGAAGATCTGGCAATGACAAGCATACGCTGAGAACTCCCTTTCTCAAATGAGAGCTCCTTTCAGAAGGTTCCCAGTGGGGGGCAAGAAGGGCTACTCCCAAGTGACTGCGGACTAAGGAACAACAAGGGGCGGTCAGCTTCCTGACGGAAAAACAAAAGGCCCCAAGGCGCGTGCTCCTACCTCCCTACCGTCAGGGGGGCCAGAGGGGACGCACAAAACACACTGCCTGGAGGAAAGCGAAGAACTGCCGCACAGTTCTGGAGTCTGGGGATGGGCGAGTCTGTCTTTCAGCGATAGTTAAGCAGACTCCTTTTAGGGTTTGGCAAGGAGGCAAGAATCTCTGCAGGGCCACTCGACCCATTTTGCAGGTCAGATGCGGCAAGAACCACTGCGACAGCACACTCACGCGACCTGCCTCGTGCAAGCCCCCAGGCTGAAGGCGCCAGGTCGTGTAAAATTCAAGTGTCCTGTGTCCACCAGTTTGAAAGGTTCAGACCGTGAGTACCAGGTGCACTTAAGACAAGGACGCCTGACTTCACCAGCAGCCCCACCCTACGCCCGCCGCAGGCCACACTCACTGCTCCTCCACCTGCGCCCCAGAGCCCGCCACTAGCGGCTCCCTCTCACTCTTTTAAGAGACGCAATAAGCGACTGCCTGCAGACCTTCGAGGACGGGGGCAGAACCTCACTTGCCTGCATCCTCGGGACCTACCCCGGAGTCTCTTTCCAGGGCCAGGTCAAGGGCAGCCGCCCTGTGCCAGTTCATCAACGGGCGCCGCAGCATCTCGGGAAAACTGCTGACCTGCACAAACGTAGTGCCCACCCGACCTCCCGTCGGGGCCTGTGCAGAGCGTGGCTGGAAGGGACGGCTGGGAGTCTGCTAGGGGACTTCTAGCCGGCTGAGATCCTGGGAGCTGGCGGAGGGGGGGCCGCAAGGGGCTCTCTGGCTCCCTCTTCCCTCTCATACAGCTCCTGGCTCCTCTTAGAAATGCGGAACAGGTGTTTAAAGAACAGCGGCCTGAAGTGGCATCAGATCCTTAGCCTGCCCAGGACACAGGCTGACAACCCGCCTCGGCTGCCCCCAGTCTCAGGCCTGCCCTCCTGCACCGGAAGTACTGAGTAAGGAATTACTTCTGAGCCAATGATACCAGCTCAGGTTTCCCCAACCAGCCAGGAACCAAGGGCACGGAGGAGCGGGGCTGGCGCCCTGAGGGACCTGGGGGCACATTCGGCGGGTCGGGAAGGGCGATGAGCAAAGCAGTGGGGCCAGAGCCTCAGGCAGCCGTTCCACCAGCTCATGACAGGCACAGAGGTTCAGAAGCAGAGGCTGAGCCTCCCCCTTCAGAAAGAAAGGAGAAAAATTCGTATTTGCCAACTCACTCACCAAACACGACATCTCACAAATCTGAATGGAGAACTGCTGTCGCATTCAGCAGGACTGGCTGCGTCAAAATGGCAGCGAGTCACTCTGAGTCAGTGACGGATCACTGGACAAACGCCACGCATCCCTAAACGAGCTTGAGGTCTCACCACATTACGATTTCACGATTCTTCTTCCGTACAAACTAGCAGCATAGTGCAACAGGAATAATGCTGGGACCAGTGGAAGTATCGAGCTTCCGCCCCACAAGGATAGCGTGCACCATGCTGCTCGGTGCCCAAGTGCTGCCCAGTCCACCTCCCCCTAAGACCACAGGCTCCGGGAAGGTAAGGACGGCCCTTGTCGCCCAGAGCCTGCCGCGTATGAAGTGCCCCCTGAGTACTGTACTTCCACAACCCTGTGAGCTACGATCAAGATGACAATATTTCACATCTTGGGGTGGTTTCAGTCTCGTAACACCGGTAACTTCCGACAGTGATCACTGTAAAGAACGCTTTGGCCGCTGTACCATGTTGTTAACCCAATGACAGAAATCAAGTTGCTGTGCAGGGCAAATCAGAGCAGTGCTTAGATCCAGCTAATTTCTGACCCAAAGAGCAAACGATGTTTCAAATAAACACTGCTGCTCACTCTTCCCCTGAAACGAGCAGTTGTTCCACAGGAGGTGCTCCTTTGGCGCTGAGGGAGCGCTCAGTGCTCTACGGCTTCTGTTAAGCGGCATCGCCATTAGCTGGTCAGGCGCTGCCTTCCTGCCTCTCAGAAGGGCTCAGCATGCAAGACAGGGGCTGACACACCAGGTCTTCTGATAATCGTCTGTTGAATGGAGAAAGCGATGGGAGGTGGGAGGGGGAAGGCTACAGCTACTGCGCACTGACTGAGGTAGGAACAACCATCCCAACTCTAATGGTGAGAAAGGTAAGGCCTGGAGAAACCAAGAAGCTTGCTCAAGCTCAGGCTCACAAGGCGAAGCAGAACTCACAGCAGCTCTGACTAAGGGCCGTCCGCTACACCGCCTCTGCAATGAGCCGTGTGAGAGGGAGTTTTATATAGAATGTGACATCGCTTTACAAAAAAAACTACAGTCTATCTTTCAGAGAAACTAAAAGACACAATCTGAAAATCAGGTCCCTATAGCTGTGCTAGCTCATGACTCAGCATCCCATCTAGAGAAGCAGAACCACCCACTGCTCCCTCCATCCTGCCTGCCTCTTTTAAGTAATTCAGATCAACGTGACAGACGCCTGAGCAGGGGAGCATCCTGCCGGCACAACCTCTCCCAGAGAAACATTGCCCTCCCGTCTAGCGACAAGAGGAATAACCCGCGTCTAAACTGTGTTTAAATGATGTTTCACGTGGCTTTTCTTCCTGGCCTTCCTATCAAATGTGGCTAAAATAAATTTATGCCACATCACCTAGATATGACCCTCCTTCTGAGTGCCTTGATAAAGATGCACCTCATGCCCTCGTTGTTACTCTGTCAGGCCTGGTTCTTACCTGAAACTCATACAAGAAAGGGAGGGTGCACAGCGGGCAAGGCCGAGTGCAGACCGTGTCATTTGCTACCTGCTTGATCTTAGACAAGCCAAGTATCAATTTTCTCATCCGTGAAATGGAGGTAAGAATGGAGTTGTTCTAACAATTAGATACTTAGGAGGCAACTATGGATCAAAGCGCTTAGCACAGCAGCAGGAACTCAGTAAGTGCCCGGAAACGGGCGACCCCAAAAGGCTGGGCAGACGGGACCATGTTCTGTGATCACCGTGACTCCCACTCCCTTGAGAACAGCTGGCACAGGAAGGAAGGACGCGGCACCACGCGGCTCCCGGGCGGCAATCACACAGCCTCGCGGGCTCGGTGTGGCCACCTCCGCCTCCAGCTCACGCTGCCTGTGTCGTGGATTCTGATGCAGTCTGGACGACTGCGAGGGGGAGGGGGCTGGGAGGCCTCTGGCTCCGTTTCTGTCCACCCGTTGCTGGCGTCTGTGCTCCCAGAATCAGGCACCTTTACAGAAGGTCCCCTCCACCTCCTGGTCAGCAGCGCTCGCTGCCGGGGTGGTCGGTTCTGGGAAAGCAGTGTTTGGCCCTCCTGCCGAGG